TATTCCACCTTTTGAAGAACATGAATCCGGTAAATTACTAAACGTCTTTGACTGGGTTTATGTAACGGCTTATGTGGTAGTTTACTTGTCGGGCCTTTAAACTTGTAATGCGCTGGCTCAAAAAAGTTAAGACGCATGAAGTAACACATGCACAGGTCGTTTGCTGATGAATGAAGCTGCATAGGAATCTCGTTAATCGTGAGCGCCCCATCAGGTACTAAGCATTTGTACATCCTATCACGCAAGGGTTCAACGGAAAAAGTCAATTTTAACTTCTGACGCCATGAATCTAGGGCTCTTATGACTTCTCCTTTTCGGTCGAGTGCGGATTTGGTTGTACCCGAGGGGCAAGTGCAGATGGGTTTGATACCAACAGCGAATAAAAATTGGCGTCCGTGCTTTACGCGGTTTCAGATATCATAAGTATAAGTAAGCAAGTGAGTTGGACCTAAAACGCTTCCATTTATGACGCCGCTAGATACAGTAGCCCGGAAGGATTCGAGGTGTGATATTTTCACCGACTGCGTGTGTCCGCTTAGTTATGATCCCAACCAGTCCACGCCATAAAACTTGACCTTGTTTATTAAGTGCTTAGATAGAATTCTGTGGAATGCTTTTTGTATATCGAGGTAGAGCGCGAGTACCGCTTGAGCAGAGTTCATCGATTTGATGACCATGTTGAAAAATCCAGCTGGCAGGTCGCACAGGATTTAGCACTCAGAAATCCATCCTGAGACCCAATCACATGTTTTCCTTCGTATAAGAAATCCATGAGTGTTCTTTTAACAGTCTTTACCAATGCCCTTGAGATGATAGATATGTGGTTTATCGGATGGAACTTGGCAAACTTCCCGCAAAGAGCCACCTTTGTGCCGAGGAATGACTATATAATTTTTCCAAGCGGAAGCATAGTTTCTAGGTTGTGTGCAGCCATCCTTCACAACGGGTGAACTGAACAGATTTTGTGAAGGAAGTGACACACTTGCCACAATCTATACCCTTTCATGTCATAGCAGTTTGCTGTTGAGCGATAAAACCTAGAAAAATCAGGAGGCAACTATTCGACACTTTTCACTCACAAGGCATGGGCGAGCAAATAATCCCAAAGGTCGAATACGCTACCAGCGATCATAAGGATTTTGTGATTGTTGCTAGGGAACATCAGCTAAGCGGCACTGAAGAAAGCAATAGCCAATGTAGGGACGGGTTTTCCGTTAAATCCTAACGGGCGTGCTAAGGATTATGATAGCGGTGGTAGCGTGCAGCTTCGCCTGCAGCGCGGCTGGGTTCGAATCCTGGATGTAACGGTTCCTGTACACGTTCAGGCGGCTCGTAGACTAAATTTTGTTTGATACTGAGAAGATTGCGGGTAGTGCTGCGCAGATAGTATACAAAATTTATAATATTATAGTTGTCCTACGCTTAAATCTTCACGGTCAGGTCCCGTAGAACGGGCGACCAAGGCTTTTGATTTACGAGCGTCCAGTTTCTTGTGCTAAGTAAGTGAAACGGCTCCCAGCACTTTCAACTTGGATTAACTCTTCTTGCTTTTGCAAGGGAATGAGGCAATGACAAGAGCAACCTTTGCACTTTCATGGGCCAGCATCAAAATACACTATATATTTCAACACAATTAAAATGCTTCTCGGAATAGCTCAGACCAACACTAATCTAAGCTCCTTTTGAAGGCTTCTACCGACGCACATTCCAATAAATCAGAAGGAAATTTATTCCAGTGCTTAACTACTCGGTTGGTTATAATTTTGCCCTGATGTGCAAATGAGCTCTATGATTTTTGAACTTCAGGCGATGCTCGCGCAGGTGCTCCGACGTAGCTACTTCAAACGGGTGGGTGTGACTAATACGACTAAGTCCGTTAATGAGCTGAAAGGTTTCTGTCAAATGTTCTCAAGCTACGCCGTTCAAACGAAAGCAATCCCAAGCCACTTAGACGATGTTCGCACGACTAGCCTCGTGGAACTCTGGCCATCATGGTCGCAAGTTAATGAATCATTTCTGCACACATGGCTTCACTAAGGAGGTGTGGTGCCCAGGTCTGAACACATTACTTCAGATGTGGCCTAACAACTATTTTGTATAACGGTAACAATACTGCTACGTTAGTGTAGCTTATCTACCCTAATATGAACCAAAGCTTGGCGTGCTATATTGTCAACATTGCGACACTGTTACGAAGGCTTAAATCTGTTCACCCTGATGACACCTAGATCACAGTCGACATCAGTACATTGCGAAGATTGCGATGCGGCAGAAGACCGAACAGTAATTCTGCTGCCACTATTGGTCAATGGTTGACAAGTATCGTCACTCCGAGGTAAATCCCATCAGCTCGAGTAATTCACTACAGTGTTGTAGTCCGTAGCCAACCTCGGTCGGTTTCCCTCAATGACTAGGTTTGAGTTATCTGCAAAAGTACAGCAGGCATCCACAAAAAGAGGAGCCTTGTCTATTAAAAGCCTAAGCAATAACGATAGACGTAGTATCGAACCTTGGCGGAAACCACTGTAGGCAAGGCACACGCTGGAACCCGCTTCTGTTGGGCGGAGCCTGAGATACTAGTCTGTAAGCAATGACACGTAATACGTGTCAAATACGACAGTATAGAAGTCGGAGGCGATTGAACCCAACGTATATTGTACAGTCTGCATTAATAGGAAGCGAATCAGAGAGAGCGAGAAACGTGCAGCGAGGTACTCACCAAAACGGTTTGTGTCAACGGATGTGCAGTCAGTAAAACAAATGGACGCTTGGAAGGTTAAAACAACCGTAAAATCCAATGTTAAATAATACTGAAAGAGCTTGTTTTCCGGTACACTGCAAGGGCCCCCCTAGAAGGCTAAAGAATGGAAGCCTTCGATGGAGCTGTTAGTGGGGGAAACGGAAGGTGAGGGTGGATGCGAATATTTGCAGGGGCTTGAGTAAGGGCTTCCAAAGTGGGGTGTGTAGCAGATTTCGCTAGGTCCAGCCTTTTGTTAGTTATTATTTATGACGATCGTGTGGACCAGAGTGCATCATCGGTGGGCCATCGGGGCGGGCTGGTCGGACTGCAAAAAATCTGGCTAGTCCAGAAAAATGGCCGACAGGACATTCTCTTTGATGCAGATCCGACCATGCGTTTGGGAGATGTCAATCCCAACCACCGCACTTTAGTCCACGGTGCTCGTCCCCGAAGAATTCCAAGCGTCCTCGTCCCACGGAGAAATTCGGGCGTCCTCGTCGGCAATGCCTAGGCGGCGTTTGGGGACCAATCCGTTCGTGGGTGTCTGCGGTCGAGGGCGACTGTCTGTTCCTTGGGTGAGGAAGGGGGCTTTGAAACGGCTGGCGAGTCACTCCAGGGTTGTGTTGAGCCGGTTGGCGAGTCTCTCGAGGGTTGCCTGCGCAGTTCCGGCGGTTGGGTTTCTGAAAGGTAGAACTCATAGGGGGTGGACAACGGTTGGGAAAGTGGCTTGAAGCCGGAGAGGGAACAAGTATGCATGATAAAAGCAAATACGCTTGTTAGGTTTTCAATATGTTTTGGGCTTTACCGTTGATTTTGCAAAACGTTTGTGGATGAGACGCAAGGTAACCACTAGAGACAAAAAAGGCGTGTTAAAGGAAATAGTAAACGTTTACAAAATCTGCAAAACGAACCGGACGTTTAACCTGCCTACCGCGTCCGTCGGTTGCCTAGGGTTGAGGCGGGATAGGTTTAAGCACGACGACACTAGCCAGCTAATTGGATTGCACACACTGTCCAATCGTCGGGTGTGCGTCAACCATATTTTGACTTATCAAACTCTACACATTTGTGACTATCCACATTTGGTTCCACTGCATCACTTGCAAACACCACTTAGCCAACGTGGACACTGGTACAACTATGTGTTGCATATCTGAAATTTGTTTGCTGCCACCTGTGCGTTGAACGTCGAGTAGTCAATGTTCAAAACGGTGCAGGAGCGTAGATGGAAAGCAGCCTCAGTATAGCGGTTCATGGCGTAGTTAGGTGTGAATTTTGATGCATAGAAAGAGTACCCACTGGCAATGGTAACTTGCATGTTTGAGACACAACGTACGGTGTCTCATACGCTTATTGCGATTTCACAGCATAAGAGGAAAAGCGATAAGCCCGGTAGACATGGGATAAGTACCATTTTGTAACGTATGATCATATTTTGATAGAGTTGTATGTGCTTAATAGGTAGTAGACGCAGTCATAAAATAAACAGTAGCCAGTACTTTGGTTAGTAAATTAGTGCCGGATGTTGCCAAAGCAGCAAAATCCAGCATATTTATCTGCTCAATCCTTTTGCTCTAACACGTCCATCAGTATTAATGTAACCAGCAAACATTTTTACATTGCACATAGACATTTATAAAGCGCAAATGTTTAACGGACCAAAAGCAAAAACAATAGTTTACAAGTCCGTACTATTATTGCGGTTGATGTTACCAACGATAAATCTACCAAATCTAACTAACTCAACCGTAGCTTTCAGTTAACAGGTGGGTCACAAGTAGTTTCTCTTAGCGAAGTTAACAAGCAACCGGTTGACGTTTGCAGCAAAATAAGTGAATGTACCGTGAATTAGAATCAATATGATTGCATTGTTCCTCGTTATTGTTAAACTGATAAATCCGCAAGCAACTGTATAGTGTGTGATAAACCGGGAACCACGCGCACCTACATCTCACAGGAGAGGTGAACACTGGATTAAGACCAGTTTGTCAGTGAATTCTTTAGCATAACCACGCTTACGCAATATTAGGTTTATCCATCAAAAATCCCACATTTCCTAGCCGAATAATTGTTACCTTTTAACCACAAAGAACCAGCTAATGCATACTGCTCAATTACGTTAAAAAATCTGAAAATATCCTGGTTAACAGATAATTGTAAATCACCTACGCAAACCAGTGCTGTGGAAATGTTGGAGTCGCACCCAGTGCACACATGCGTTTAAGTGATACGGATTCCGTTTGGAATAGTGTGAGTAAACTGAAAGTCCACACCCTTATGTCACAAGTCTTTGGCTTGGGTTCAAGTTCGTCTTGCGCTGCTGAAGCGCCACTGAAGGATTAAGCATCTACCAATTTAAGAATTCTCACGATACAAACTTCCCGAACAAATCAACTGCAGCGATCATCAACAACTGCACTGCGCGTTACATACGAGTGATTATTGCCTGCCACACAGTTCGCCTGTTTCTTCGCCAACCTGAGCTTGAGAAATCAACGTTCTATCTCCAGATCTCAGCCAGGTAGCAAGCAAGCAGTGGAAACTGAGGCACTTAATGACGCATCGGAAAAATTTCCCACAGCAAATCCCATACTGTGGGAGCCAACTCACACGGAACAGCAATATAAAATCGTGAACATCGAAAGCTACATGTGATTTGTCGTCAAGATGCTCTTCGCCTGGGTGAAAATCTGCATTGCCCTTGTTCTCGCAAGATCAAATATGGCATTCAGCAGTGAGTCATTATCTAAGTCACCTCAGTTTCTGTATGTATCAATTTGGCGTTGCGTATTGATACACACACTGCCAATACAATTTGCGATTCCAATATTCAATATCCAATAGTTGTGAAAGTATCAAATGTCCGACCTGTGCGTTGTGCCGTATTTGTTTCAGGTGATTCGTCTGCCTGCCCTAAAATTGTGTTTCCTTAGTTGCACATAGGTTATTTAGTTACTAAGCACGGAGTTGGTGCAATGCGCTGGGAGTGAGTCAAATGCCAGTATAAGTGTTTTAATGCGCCACTGTGCTCTTGTTACACGAACTTGCGTCGAACCTTAAGCTGAAGGATAGGGGAGGAATAAGTTCTATACGTTGCATATCTATGAATTTTATCCGTTGCACCGGTAAACGTATTCATTTGTAGCAGCTAGTATTCACATCGCTAATACTGGTTTCGCAAGCTGTGCATTATGTGGTCCAACAAAATCGCATTAACTTTATAGGTGATGGAGTTCTAATTGGACACAGCTAAGTGGAAACTTCGAAAGGAAATTTTGAGCAATACAATATGCTGGCATATCACATCGTTTCATCAGTTCCAACACAGTAACCAGGCATGATTTATACAAGTCAAACGGTTTTGACCAATTCTTTCTATTGAACGGCCGTTGTTCTTGTTGTGGCATATAGAAACATCACAACTGCATATTGTCAACGAGTTGGTTTTAGACGCACATTGTTTGTCAAATCCGGCTAAACGCAACGGATTTGTGTAATTTTTGTGACGCAACATGCTCCAATTGGACATCAATCCGATATAGGGTGGGGGAATGTTTCAGCATATGGATGTCGCCGGCGGCTCACTCGATCACGTATGTTCGGTGTGTGATTTACTAAATTCGGGCTTTTTCCAGTTTGCTTAATCTTCTTTCACCCTGGATTCCATTCAGTGTCGATTCTGCGGATGCGACTGACTGCGTATTTAATCAAATTTGACATATGAATTAGGAAGTGAGAATTATAGGGACAACCGCATATATATGTCGGACGCGTTAGAAATCATAGACGCACGCACCACATGTAGTACTACATGTGTTTCCCTGACGAATGTGTTAAACGCTCCTCCCCACGGATGTCTCAAGAATCTCTTTGGTCTAACTACAAGCTTTTACTGATTCTGTAATTTTAGTGTCCGCTTATGAGGAAGTGGAGCCTTGGGAATATTCCACGTTCGATGAGACCGACAGAGATTATCCACAACAGAGCTTGCTGACGCACAAGCGGGCTCCAGCGCCGGGTGAGTAAAGACCAGAGCAGTCAAATCTAGTTTCAAAGCGTGTGAATGCGGCATTAGCTTGTATATTTCACTGCACAAAATGTACCTCGCGTGCAAGCACTTGATTGTGTACTCAACTTGTCTTACTTCACCGTTCATCCAACAGGCATGTGGCGGACTGCGAAAAGGTAACTGCCCTTGGTCCCACTCGTTTAGGCTGGCAAATTAGTGGAGATGGAGCGGGCTATTGCAAACCGAGTGCCAGCCAAATTTGATGCTGAATGTATGGCAAAATTGCTTAATATAATTGAAATCATAAATGAGTTCTATTCTTCTCTGTAATGTGGTGGGTGCCAGCAAACTTTTACAATTCATTCGTCGTGCCCGGGCGCAAAACTGAGTAATGTGCTAAAAGGTAATTTTCTCTGGAATAAAAGTATGATGTAAATATGGAAGGGTATGATTATTAAGTACAGTGGGATGGCCAGATTTTGAATCACACTATGGTGATTGTTAAGCAGAGTGAAAATGTTAACATCGTTTTCGCCGATTCACCACATTGTTCCCAAAGATATGCAGAAAGGAGTGAAACTCAGTTATGTAGTTCAGTGTAGCTCGTTTAACATTCGACCTGAACAAGCTCTATACGTATGCATGTCAGGGTAATTTAAATGCATTTTGATACATCAAATCTGTAGAGACGAACAAGGTGTATTATAGAGGAGAATTCATAGGTTTAAAGGTCAAATGCTTTTGTGTAATCCAAGTAAGTGACATCCACTCCTGCTCTAACATCAACTGTTTTAGTCCAGCTGTTGCGCGCAATTATCAGGTTCGTTTTGTATGAGGGAATTTTTTAAAAGCCAAGTTGCTCTGGTGCTATCATCTTGTGATTTTCCGGATACTGCATTAATGCATCAGCAATGATAGACTCCATAAGCTTGGAAAGCACAGGGAGCAGCGTTATATTATGACAATCAGCTTGGTCAGTGCGACTACCTCACTTACGAATAAGAGTGAGGATCCCGGCGCTACAATATTCTTGGAATATGCTACTCCTCCATAGAGTGTTAATAGAATATAGACAGAGGTTCCGCCAGATCACTGGCTGCTGTCTGTGAAACCTTTGTTTGAATGTTATTAACACTAGGAGAGCTGTAAATAAGCAGGGGCGACAATTTCTTTGACATGCTTGCTGCATTAAAGTGCTCACGTTGCCAAGTCAACCTTTGAACACCTCGAGGCATACGCCATCCTACACCTGGCAGACTAAACAAACCCTCCTAGTTAAGCGATGGCCAGGCATACGTAGTACGTGCCAAATCCAACGCAACTTGTTTGGTGCTATTCATTGTTCTAGGGAGCTAGCATGATTATCACTACCTAGTACTCGCCTACGCATATCATCGTTGTGCACACGCTGGCGCCATCCGATACCAGCATTGCTTCGCAGACAAGGATGATTAAAGAGGTGAAATCGCTTTAGATGTTCAGACCGAAGGTGCCAAGTCTCACTCCCATAGAGCAGAACGGCACTCACTGTGGCTTTGCATACACAGCCTTTCAAACGGAGGAAGTCACAATTTTCGCCAAAGATGCCGCAAGTTCAAGAAGGCAGCTTTGGCCTTTGCAATGCGCGAGCTGACATCACTTGCTGGGGATGCTGGAATTTTCAGATCGTAACCCTTTCAGTCGCCTGTAATGAAAACATGGCTGTGTCGTGATAGCAGGAACCTTCGTACCACTAATGCTGGGCGACTGTTAATCTATGGTCAGGAAATTTGCGGATGATAAAAGCGACTATAAGACGAGTGTTGTGGCGTCTCAGTAGCAGTCTGCATCAGAGTAAGCCGATTCTAAACTTTTCTCGATCCATTAATTCACAATGAAGGTCACTGCGATAGTATAAAATTACCCTACCGCACTTCGTGGGTTAATGCTTTCGAAGAAGGAACATTTCATTTACCGCGACTTTGGTGTCGGTTATTTCTGAGCACACCTAAGTTTCCGCTACGAATATGATGTCCAAGACGCATGAAGCTGTATGTAGCTGTTTAGGTGACATTATAATTTGGTGTACTTGCATAAAGTTTCTCTAATCTTAACTGTGAGTCGAGGACCTGTGTTTTAGGTATAATTTCGTGACGACCAGTCAAATTTCCGCCACCGATCAATTTTCGTTGAGGCGGTGACGAACTCAATTTGTAAGCTCTAGGTATCTCGCCATTACCTGTTTGCACCTCCGTTTGTAATTAATGAACATGTGTGTTCACCAGTTTTGTCTGCTTACTGCTGGAATGTATCCGAACTGCTGTCGGGAAGTTCTTCGACTAAATTACTGCTGTCGTGCACTTGTTTATGGGACGATGCTTTGATTCATAGTATGGAACTTAGGCTGCTGTGACCCACATAGCAGCAGTCCAACACCATTTACACACTTGGCTCTATTGAGGAATTAGCTTTACAATTCTTCGGTCACATCTTTCGTAAGCTGGAAATCTGTGCAGTCCCGAGACCGATTGTGCTAGGACATTTCCAGGGCAGTATCTGTCGAATGTCGCGCAACTGTTTTGATTCGTGGGTGGTCGTCCTTAAGTCTTGCAGCCTCGGGAAAACGGCGTATATGGATGGTTCGGACTATTGCTTGTTTAAGATAATATTCCAATTAGAGCTTCATGTGTTTAGGATCGCTTCACAGAATATCCGGGAATATACGTACGGAACATAACCCATTCCGGTGACAAGTGACCGAAGCAAGCTGGCGGGCTTAACAACAACATTATGATGTCACCAACAGAGTTCTAAAGATATACATCATAAAGTTGATTTCCTTTCAAGGATTTTGACCTTGGTTCGAGAAATTTAGTGCGGATAACCGATGGTACACTAGATGCATCAGATTAAGTTCGACCACCCAGTTTTTGTGCATATAACCGGCTAGGGCCTTGCAATTACGGCTTTAACTTCCATTATTTACCTTTATTTAAGTAAGATTAACTGAAAACGTAATTTCCTAGTTGCATTTAGAAGCAAGCATGTTCCAAGCACCACCATTGTCGGCGTCTCTCTAAAAGTTGGGAACAGTTTGGATTGTGGACAATATCCTGGATGGTGGGATACGTTTGGGCCACTAGTGGCACCCATGTATATAGCCACAAGTAACGCATTTATAGCGTATTACCAAGCTTCCCTTCTCCTTTTTAAAGCAAAGCCAAATGTCGAATACAACGGTTAAATCTCTGTCCCACTTTATTTTAATGAAGCAATATGATGTGCCTCATTTTTAACTAGTAATGTTTTAACGCTGCTCTCGTCCCTGCAAATTGCCCTGATAACCCAGCCCGTGGAAGAAACAAGACATCCAAATCTGCTAGGCCGAAGAGTACTGGGAACCGAACACGGTTCATCTAATGGGTCACATAACCTCACCTCGTCGATCGGTCACTGAGGTGCTTCATGTCCATTGTCTAGACAAATTCAACCCTGGTAGCGGCCTTTACACTTTGGCTGTAGTTACTAGCACTTCCGCACCATAGCACCCCGTGCTGCGATGATGTACTGACTCCGTCAACTGCTTTTGGATTGCGCGGCAATATGTGAGTAAAATTGTGATCTGAGTGGGACATTTGTCCTGCGTTACAAATAACAGGTTTGAAGGTACTCACGAATCGTACCGCCTGTCAGTTTGGTTGCTGATGATACCATGGTGAGATCATCTGTTGTAGTCAATTCCCCTTGCACAAATCGCGAAACGAAATTGCAGTGAGTTGTGTACCGTTGTCTGTCACTCTCATGTCTGGCCGGAGGAAATTCTGGAACAGGTTATAGAGCTGGTTGACCGTGTGCTGCATCGGGATCACATCGGGCCACTTAGTGAAAGAATCCCCAAACAAGATATGATTGTTTAAAGCATTGAGTTAAATGTATCAGGTTTCCACAAAACAACGAGAAGACGAGTACAGCAAGATGACACCATTTTGTTTTATCAGATAACTAGCTAAGTAACAACGTATAGAAATCACGAAGGCAAGAAAACGACCGTTTCGAATTAGTTAACTAAATGCACACCAACACAAAAGGATACATGGTAGTTATTAATCCTGCATAGTCTAACTATGTCTTATTAAGCTGCATACATTTTATTTCATATTATTTGGTTTCTTGTATTTGCTTGTATTTGCGTTTTATGGAGTTCGGGACAAGTCATTTGATGAAACGTGACTCCCATCCACAAGCCTCCCGGACATATTCCTTCGGGTTTGCACTGGTTACGGGAGTGTCGTTGAACTGTGGGTGGTGCAGCGCAAGCAAACCATGGTCCATTTGTAGGCGCAGGTGTCCTGTACCTGGCCAACGTGACAGGCAAACCCGAAAGCGGATGCGCCGATATGCATATGAATAGAACCGCGATCATTCCTTACATACGCAGCAGATGCGAAATATATGCCTCGGTTATTTCTTCAACTTTTTCACAAGACCAGAAAAACTTTACGCCAGTTTAACCGCTTTGTATACTTGATCCATCAACCTTCTGCTTTCACAAGATATACCGGCGATCGCAGACGACACATTACCTCCACCCGCAAGGGTATTAGCAATGGACTCGTTCCCAATGCTACCACACATATTCACCGCTTATATAATCCGCAATTACAATGACTCACACATCGAGGACACGAACAATAATCCACTATGTATAACATTTTTACATCAATTCTGATTAACGCCAGATAGATTATCAACAAACGGTATTTCCTAAGTATGCTTGTACCTCTAAAAGAGTTGCAAACAATCCTAGTTACCGAAAGATGGCACCTTGCTGAGATATTAGAATGTAAGCCAATTACCCCAAGCCTCTAACACATTCCTCTTAAAGCTCGCTGCAATAGAAAAGTTGAAGCATGATGAAAGTAACTCGATCACACACGCACACGTGAACGGTTCAGAAATGCATCACTGACTAATGTCTCTGATTCTCTCTGGTTCTCCGTTTCAGTAGCCTCGCTCTACTTGTATCTAACCGTAACCCGCAAAATCCACTAACAAAGCAAGTTGTCCGTATCACCCCAGCGTTCAATTTCGCATCAGAATTGACACAAACAAAGGATAATTGTGGGTAATTTCAGTATACTGAAGATACACTGTTCTTCCCAGCCATTATTATATACCTACAGAGCCTTCATTTACGCAGT